TTTCGAGACGACATACCCCTAACAAATACGGGAATCATTGGACCAGAAAAAACTGCTCTATAAAGTTCGTCGAGCACACTAACTCAATTTTTGAGATGGCTCCCGGTGGTATAAGTGCCCTTTTGGACGCCTTTGCATGTTGTAGTAAGGCTGTTGCCTTCCGAAACGGCTCTTTTCTGGGTTCGAATCTTAATTGAATTTTTAGAGCATTAAAAACATTAGTTATTAGAAGCACGGTATTTTCCTTGCTTTTCTGGACATGCATGGTAACTTGAACGCTATCCGTGCCTTGAACGCTTGCTTCTGGTGCCTTGAACGCTTGCTTCTGCGTTTACAATTGCAAGGAACCTCATTTGGTTGCCTGACGCATCGAAAACTTTATGCTCGCTTCCATGGCCTACCATTTCAACCTTTTACCAACGTCAAAGCCCTGCATCTTGGCTTGCTTGAGCAGACCAGCTGTGTCGCGGAAGCGACCTCTTTTTTATTCATTTGTTGTTACTTTAACTTCTCTTTATTATTTCTGTTTAGTTTTTGATCGGGCCTATTCGATTACATACGTGATCAACACAATGATCTGGCGGGCTCGAGGCAGCTATAAAAGGGCAAGTCTCAGTACAACCGTTCGATTTCGTCACTATCGTCTCCGGTACGGCTGGGCTCTAGCCGCGATCTCAACACTTATTCGGTTCAAGAAAAGATTCAAATTATTCTGTACCTTCATTGTTTCAAGTGAATACCTCCCTCATATTCTACTCGTAGAGAGTTCAAGTCAAGTTACCTCAAGTCGAATTCGTTCAGGATCAAGTGATCAAGTACCCGCGTGGCTGGACATGTCCATAAGGCGAGCTTATACCTTACGAATCTCGATATGGTGCATCGTCAGTTTGATAAGGAACTCAGGTCAGAAATTTGAATTGCTTAGCCGAGCTCTCAAGTGCTGTCAAGTTTTTCGATTGCTATCAAGTATCAAGTCACAATTTTCACCAAGTATTTGATATTTCGCAATCTTTCAATCAATTTGTCTCACAGTTTCCATCAAGTACTTGATATTTCGCAATCTGTCAACCAATTTCTCAAGTAAACAAAAAAAGATGAATGCCCAAGTAACCACAACGAAAAGGATTCTCACTCGGTAACGAAACAGATTAGAGCAGCTAATAAAGGAATACCAGGGAATGAAGCTGGAATCACTTCGGGCCGAATTTCATGATGAAGCACAGAATGCTTATTTAGAGAGGTTACGTCAACTCGAAGAGGCGATGGGAGATATTGACGTTCTGGTAGGACAATTGGAGCCAACATTGTCCAGATTCCTCCCTCTGAGAGACAGTTCAGTTACGGGGGCTGAGCCCGACGACAACGAAACTTACTCCATTCGGACCGAAGACGGTATCGCCGCAGCAGTTGAATACATTATGCTTCTTCAAGCCAGGATCAGGGCTATCAAATCGTGCGATGGCATGGGTCAATCCCAAGTGACAGCACCTCAGCCTCCACGTGGGACACAGGCACAACTTCGCAGACCCCAGTCTGTGGAACTTCCAACTTTACCCATACCGAAATTCAACGAGAATATTTGGGACTGGGACAAATCCCGGGAACTGTACAATGCAAACATGCACTTACAGGATCTCCCAGAACCCTACAAATTCAACTACCTTTTAGACGCGCTTCAAGGAGAAGCCAGAGAATCCATTAGGAAATTTCAGGTCACTAAGGCAAATTATTCTCAAGCCATAACTTTCCTGCACAACCGATACGGTTCAGGAAAAGAATTAGTTCAGAAACTCATCAAAAAATTGGAAATGAGCCATTTACGAAGTCAAGCCATGAAAGAACAACGTTCACTCTCTGAGCAAATTAAAGTCATCATTCAGCAACTGAGACAAAAAGGCGAACAAATGACAATCAATGGATAATGAAAAATATCTTGTCAAAATTCCCAGAGGATTTTCAACGGAAAGTCCTCATGAAGAAGCGATCAGTCTCTTAAAACCTTCTACCGATTTCGATGCAAATTCTTTTCAATCTGAGGGAAGACGTCATTTCGGAAGAAGAAATTATTCAAGTTCATTTCGAAACGCCATCTAAGGCTATGCCATCCAGTATGGACACACACAACACCTTTCACAGAAAACGGGCACTGCCGTGCATGTACTGCGAGAGTGACCACAAACCAGCAGTATGTGAAAAATACAAGACTCCGCAAGAACGTGCACAATACCTACGAGAAAGGAACTTGTGCCAGCTACGCGCATCAGCGCACCATGCAACAGCGGAATGTAGCAGGCAACCATGCTTCCTTTGCCGCGGTCCGCATCATACATCGTGTTGCTTCAAGACCGGGATGAATCCAACCACATCCTTGGTAAAGTCAAGTGGAAATGCTTCTCGTCAACGGTTCCAAGCCCAACGCAAGGAACAAAGAGATGAAAGGAAGCAAACAAAGACTACAATCAGAGTCAACCTGGTGACCGACAATGCGTCAAATCCACGGCACGACGAGGCCGCAGAAGGAAGTTATGGAGAAGGAGCAGTCTTGAGTGTACAACCTCCCGGAAGAAGCTTAATGCATCCAAAGACGTTCCTTCCAATCGGCGAACTTTGAGTAGCCGATTCAAACACCAAGAGTCTTCGAGAGATTCAAGTACTTATCGACACAGGAGCCGAAATTTCGTTTATTAAAACTGCTTGGGCTCAAGAACTGAGATTGCCCACATCCAAAGGAAAGTCGTTGTGCTACTACACCTTCGGATCCACACAAGTGCACAAAAAGCAATCAAGTAGAGTGCAGCTATCAGTTTGGGACAGTGATGGACAACTGCATATACTGGATTTGCTCACAAGCGACATTTTTACGGATTTTTTTAAAGGATTTTTCTGTTCCACCTTTAACAAAAGAAGACAGTGAGGCTTTTCTTTCGCAAAAAATGCAGCTTCCCTCAATGCATCTCGCGAAAGTACAGCCAAGTATTATTATTCTTATTAGGATGCGATCACTCATGGCAATTTTTGAGAAAAACAGCTCACAAGTGGAACTTCTATCGGGTCTTCACGTCCTACGCACCACAATGGGTGATATTCTTGCGGGACAGTTGAAGAGCCTACAGAAGATTCACCATTTAAGCCTTAAGGACGAGCGCGAGGAAATCACCCATGGGACAATTATTGGTCCCTTGAACCACAGATACACATGGTACACGAGGAGGACAACCCTGGAAGCGACGAGTAGGATGAATGTAGATGGGAGAAGTTTTGGGAATCAGAGTCGGCAGGAATTCATGAATCCGGAAACCTGAAAGGGAAGAAAAAGACCGTCAAGACAAGCAAGATGGAATAACTTCAACCTTACGGTCGAACGCAGAGCTGATGGTTATTACGTGAAACTTCCATGGAAAGATGATCATCCGCAGCTGCCTGGCAATTATGCAATAGCCATACGTCGCCTCCACAGTGTCTGGAATTCACTGCACAAGGATCAGAACCTCCTTCAGCGATATGATGCTGTCTTCCAAATACAGATGAACATCCTTGAGGACGTATCAGAAGACAGGCCAAGCTCGAAGGTCAGGAAACACTATCTCGCACGTCAAGCAGTGGTGACTCCCAACAGGTTGACAACAAAGCTCCGCATTGTTTTCGATGCATCGGCTCATTACAAGGGATGCCCATCGCTCAATGAAGTTCTCCACAGGGTCCTCCCACAACTGTTCGGAATTCTTCTCAGATTCAGGATAGGAAGAATAGGGATCATAGCGGACGTCGAGGAACATTTTTACAAGTGAGGCCTCATGAGAGCGAACGAGATTTCACAAGATGATTATGGCTGTGGGATTATCGGCAACCACCTGAACCCGACAATATCAGGAGCCTCAGGTTCACGAAAGTGTCATTCGGGTTGACTGCCTCACCGCTTCTCTTGGCAGCAACTACTCACTACGACTTTGATACATACGCAAGTGAACGCGATTTAGTTCAAGAAATCAAGAATAGACTCTACGTTGATAATGTTCTATTGACGGCAGAAAGTTGCGACGAAGCCCGTCACAAGTATATCAAGTGTAAGGAAACGTTCAACGCTTTGAGCACGAACCTCAGAGAATTTGTGTCCAATGATGAAAAATCAATGCAGGGGATGGTCTACAAGGACCGTTCGGCTGATCCCCGGCCGAAAGTGCTCGGAATACGATGGAACTCCTCGGGTGATCGATTTCAAGTGAATTGCTCAGTCAGCACAGATTCTCATGTTTCCAAGCGGACAGTAGCTCGAGCAGTGCTTCAATACACGACTCTTTGCGGTGGCTGATTCCATTGACTCACAAAGCAAAGCGCTCTTCAGTCACTTTGAAAAGAGGGCTACGGATGGGATCCACACTCTCAGTAAGCCATACACAACAATGGCTTAACGTCATCGATGGCATCAGCGGATTCGAAAAAACGATCCCTCGAGTTGTTGCAAGGGGCTCAAGCAATCAAGTTATTATCACATCTGCGGATGCTAACNGATTTCAAGTGAATTGCTCAGTCAGCACAGATTCTCATGTTTCCAAGCGGACAGTAGCTCGAGCAGTGCTTCAATACACGACCCTTTGGGGTGGCTGATTCCATTGACTCACAAAGCAAAGCGCTCTTCAGTCACTTTGAAAAGAGGGCTACGGATGGGATCCACACTCTCAGTAAGCCATACACAACAATGGCTTGACATCATCGATGGCATCAGCGGATTCGAAAAAAACGATCCCTCGAGTTGTTGCAAGGGGCTCAAGCAATCAAGTTATTATCACATCTGCGGATGCTAACTTGGAAGCAATGGCTGCATGCCTGCACCTGTGCGATCCACCATCAGCCCATCTGTTAATGGCACGTGACCGGCTTCCCTCATTGACGAGGACTGCCGCGACAATGCCAAAAATGGAACTAAGCGCTGTTACACTAGCTACTCGGTAGACCGAAACAGTAGTCAACGAACTTCGGTCAGCGATACAGATCAAAAATATCTACATCTTCTCTGACTCGGAAATTGTACTGAGTTGGGGGAAGACTCTTCACATAGCCGAGAAAAAAGCGTCATGGTTACCAATAGGCTCGAAGATATAGGCAAAATAGTTGAACACCTGCAATCGCTCAAGTATGAAATATACTTCGAGTATATGAACTCGGTTCAGAATCCAGCCGATTGCGCTACGAGAGGGCTAACAAAGGATCAATTCACAATGCACTCCTGGTGGAAAGATTCGGTCTTTTTGGAAGAACCGGAAAGCAACTGGAAGAAAAAGAGCACGACGATCAAAATCAGACCGGAAAATGGTAATCAAGAACGGAACGTACTCCTAGCAGCAGCGGTTCACGTAAACGAAGCTGACCGCTATCTGATAACGCCTAAGCAGGCTATAACACTAAATCACGCAAAGCGTATCTTAGCCTACGCTCTTCGTTTTATCAAGGCAATCACTCGTCAAGTACGAAGCAAGCATTCAAGTCAAGTTATATCGGCCTCATGGTGGACCTCACCGCGGGAGGAACACTCCTTGGCCCTAACAGGAGAAGAGATGATGGAAGCTAGAAAAGTGATGATTCGTCATCATCAACAGACAGAAATCACGTCAGAAATCATCAAAAAGCTTGCTTCTTTGAGACCGAGAAAGGACAAGGGAGATATCCTACGATGTTACGGTAGACTAGGCAATGCGCCTTAAAAAGTTCAGCCGAGTATCCTATTCTCATACTGCAGAAATCGTTCTTGGCAAGACTCGTCATCAACGAGTATCATCAAGGAGCGCATCTAGGGGTCAATCACCCCATGTCATTGGTTCGTCGAACATTTTGGATACCACAGCTGCGATCTCAGGTCATCAAACAAGTGAGAGCATGCCTCAAGTGTCAGCGTCTTAACAACTTACCTTTCGAGTACGCCCATCAGAGCGACCTTGAGAGAGTCATCCAGAGTAGGCCTTAAATGTCGGGTTAGATTATTTTGGAACCCTCTATGTGAGCAGCTCGCGGGAGAGAAAACAAAATGCTTTGGATATATAATCACTTGTATGGTCACACGGCTGATCCACCTATAGCATCGACGCATCTTTCCTACACATGCTGAGGCGATTCTTTGGAAGAAGAGGAATTCCTAGTTTAATAACAAGTGACAACGCCCCAATATTTCTACTTGGCAGGGAGATCATGCGGGAAAGCGCAGAAGAAGCTAAGATCGACCCTTCCATTGCTCGAGAATTAGGCAACAGGGAGATAAAATGGAGTCACATTACTCCATACGCGCCCTGGCAAGGCGGGTTTTATGAAAGGCTCAACAAGTCTGTCAAAGCAAGTCTGGACAAATTCCTAGGAAGGTCAACGCCATCATTTAAAGAGCTACTCACAGTTATGGTCGAAATCAAAGCTTTTCTCAACACTCGCCCACTGTTGTACTCTTACTCAAGCTTGGATCCGGAGAGCATCCTGAGACCAATTGATTTTTTGCAAAACCATTTACAGGTGCACTTTCCGATAGAAACCAACACAGAATACAACGAGGACCCTTCCTACTTACCATCAGAAGAAATTCCGACATTCAGAACGAAACAACGGACAATCCGAGCATTGCAAAGAGCTTCAGCTTTAGTGAGCTTAACGAAGCGGGCATGGAGAACATGGCAAACTCAGTACCTGACATCGCTTTGCGAAAGTCATTGGGTGGACGTGAAAACGAGGGAAGGAGGTGTGCACCCATCTTGAGAAGGGAGCCTCGCTCTGATTTGGGATGAAGCACAACCACGTCACTCATGGAAGATAAGTCGCATTGAGGAACTGTTTCCCAACACCCAAGGAATCATCCGAGGAGCAATAGTTCGTCTCCCGTCACGGCGACGCATACGACGTCTGATCAACTCACTGTTACCCTTAGAGTTGGAAGGAACGACGAGTAACGAACCGGACTTTTACGAAGACTCAAGTAACATTGCAAGCACATCCTCACGTTCAAGTTCACGCTATAACTTGCGACAACGATATTCGACATCAGCTGCTTCGATAAGTACAATAACAATGATAAGTCTTATATGCTGCCTATTTACAAGCATATCGTTCTAATCGCAGAAGCCAGCGATGCTCGCATCATGAAAATTAATCAAAAGTTACCACCGTTTACAGTTGTTATTTGAGAAAGGGAAACATCAAGTACTTTCCTCGAATTCCTTTGCTCGAGAATGAGCTATCCTGGAAATCCAGTACTAGTCAATGGTCAGAAAAGGGAAAAACCTTATTTCCGAATTCCGTTTGTTTGTTCTCAGAAAAATCCGAACAGAAAATCTCACTGTGTAATTTCAAGTTCAAGTTTAACTTTTGTAAGGCTTGAGCATAGTTTGTAGAGGTTAGAGATTGAGAGNAGTGACTTATGCTACAGTATGAATCTAATGTTGCAACTTTCAGATTGCGGAGATAAAAGTCGGAAGGAAGGAGGAGCAAGGACGGTCGTTCGAACAAGGACTGCTATCTCGCCAGCCGCTCTCGAGCTAAACACCTCCTGCGCCTCACTCCGTTCGACCCCATCGTAATCATTCCTAGCGATAGTCTATTAATATGTGCTGAATCCATATTCGTCTATTAGACATAAAATTGACTCCGCTAGTTGTGCGTTGTTCTGTCGCAAGATGAGCCAAGGGACACAGCTAGCGCTAACTCTTTAGCATAGTCAAGTATACAGCACTGTTCGCTCTCGATTTCAATCTGAACCCACGCGATGTGGAAGGAGGTCCCAGATATTTGAGCCATATGATAATCGAATCGAACTCTACCAGCGAGAGACTAGAAGGAGACCTAACAGCTGTTCTCAACGAGATAAAAGTTCAGGGGAGTTCACATCATCAATATGAAACGACTGGTACCACCTGCTCTGCAGTACCACGCTTCACGACATGGGAATAGCTGAAAAACTTCAGCTCCTTAATCAGTATTTGCTTACGGCTAGCCTCACCAAGGAGCGACTCTAACGTCTCGGCACCGCTATGTTTTGACGGACCGCATTTACGGGAGCAATGCCCAGAGTGATCAGGAGCTAGCAGCCAGAAGAGAAGAGTGGCCACGCGAAGAAGGTGTCCAGCTCGAGGTCAAGGAAGTGATGGTACTCATAGAGCGAGATGTGCGACGTTTGGGAACTACCATCAAAAAAATCATGGAGTACATGGTGACGGCCGAAAAGGAACTCAAGTCGAACAGGAGAAAATTGGAGGCAGCAGAGGTCCCTAAGAAGAGCGTGCAAGCCATGCAAGATCAGCTGCAAGTGTTAAAAATGTTGCCAAACAAAACCGCGGAGGCGGCTCGACTCGACAAGCTCCAGCCCGCGCAGGAGACCGACGACCAACACTTCGATCGTCTACTTCAAAAGTCGCGTGGTGATCAGACAGAGTAGCGTCCGGAGAAGCCGAAAAAAAAGAGAGTGTTACGCGAAAGTGAATCCACTGCGGACCAAGCTTGCACCTCGAAAACCAGCGCTAAGAAAGCCAACCCGTCTACTGATCAGAGGGCGGCAGAAGGATTGGAAGCTATCCGTGGAGAGATAAGGATGATGGAAAGTATGCCGGACAAGTACCCACACAGGCCGATAGTCGAATATTCCAATGGCATCGACCCCAGGATCGACTGTTCCTTCTAAGGAGTCGTGGGTGCCCATTTTTCAGATCCTTGCCCACACGTCGTTAATGGAAACCGGCGGCTACAAGTTGCCATATCTTGTGGAAGATGTTACAAGTGTATGAAGTACTGCAACGGAACGTGCTCAAACAAGGGAAAGGAAAAAGGACGTTTTTGTAGTAAGCCACTGCGAGGAACACTATTCAAGGACGTGATCCCTCCGTATGCACACCACCGCGCAGTCTGCCCGGCGCCTGACCTGAGAGAAGAATTGCAGCTCAGATCAGTTAAGAAAATTGAGGAATTATTTGAATTGGAAAGAAAGCGCTCTTTTCTCAGTAGGTGGGACTGTCGCGAAAGCGACCTCTTTTTTGTTCATTTGTTGTTACTTTTACTTCTCGTTATCAATTCTGTTTAGTTTTTGATCGGGCCTATTCGATTATAGACGTGATTTACGCAATGATCTGGCGGGCTCAAGGCAGCTATAAAAGGGCAAGTCTCAGTACAGCCGTGTACAACCGTTCGATTTCGTCACATTCGTCTCCGGTGCGGCTGGGCTCTGACCCCGATCTCGACACTTATTCGG